ATATTATATATATATATATATATATATATATATATATTTTATTATTTAATAATTGTATTACAATTCAATGTGAATCATTTAACAAAAGATATGTCTTGAATTATATTTATTTGTTATTGATTTTTTAAAAAATATAAGATTATATATATATATATATATATATATATATATATATAAAAATAAATGATAGAATATAGAATGTAATTTTTATTAAATCTATTCTGCTTTATAACAAAGAATTTTTTGACTTTTTATTTTAGCTTGAGTAATTGTTGTTGATGAAAAGTATTAACTTTTTTTTACTACATTTGCAAGATTCATGAATGGCTTCCATGTGCATTCACTAGTATTATTTCATTGCTAATATGGAATTAAGATTTTTTTTTAAAATAAATATTTGCATTGATTTTTTATTTTTTTTTTATTTTTTTTTGTTTTTTTATATTTAATTACATCTTTATTCTTACATGAAGCTCTAATAAACAATTTCAAAAATCTTTTGCCATAAGATTATCAATTTTTGAAAAGTCAAAAGATCAAAATATAAATGATAATCATAATTAGTATAAAAAAGTAATTGTCGAGTAAAAAAATATATTATATTATTATAAGCAAACTCTCCCAATAGCAACAGAGTTGTCCAATCATCTTAATGGTAGTTGATGGTATATTTCAAATACTACTCCAAAACTTTATTAACCTATTTTATTTGTCAATCAATTTAAAAATAGAAGACAAAATTAATTTTATGTCAACTTTTAATATCTTAAATTAATTCTTCAAAAATTAGAAAAAAATTAGATCCCTCTACATGTTAAAATATCCTTTAAAAGTCCATAATAGTAATAAATATTATAAAAAAAATCTAGTTTTTTCTTTAATTGTGATAGTTTTTCTACACAATACAAAATATGATATTTTAATGAAGTGATTTATTTTGACAAACATAGAATCATAAAAGCTTGAGATTGAGAGATTGGTAATAAAGTCCATAGTTAAATATGACCATGATTAGTTTGAAATATGTAATGGTTAGAAAAATTTACAAAATTGATGATAAGAAAAAACATTATATATTTGCACAAAGTCTTTAACTTCCTTCTATATTTGGAACCATCAAATATCTATTGATATTAATTTTAAGAAGTTATAGTATCTAAAATGTCATATGGTTGAAAAATTATAATGAGTTTGAAGAGCACAAAATTATGCTTCACCATTTAGAACATAGAAGTGTTTCTTAAAATAAAAAAGATTGTTATCAAATTCAAACTTAGAAGTATAATGAGATTTATAAGGATTATTCTTAATATAATGCCCAAGAGAATATGAGGACATATTTGATTATACCTGATGAAGAAATTTTGAATCAACAATTAATATTGATTTCATTTTTTAATATTCCTACATGTACAAGTTTTAATTTTTTACATTAAAAAAATATCTTGTGATATTTAACAAAAATTTCATTAAAAAAAAATTAGATGCACCAAAATTTAATAAGCTAAAGATAAAAGTAGTAGGATTTTTAGCTCTTAAAGAAACTAGTACTAAAAAATACAAAAGATTTAAAAGATAATAAAAGGCCTTAATATGATAATGTGATATAAGAATTTAACCACAAATTTTTTAATGTTCATGAATAAAAAATAAAAAAATGAAAACATATAATGTCTTTTATAATTTAAATCCATAATTATTTTTATTTTTTTACTTCTTGAAATAGTATAAAAATAAATTTTGCACATTATATTGTAATTCATAAAGAAATTAAGTAATATGTGTAACATAATCTTGCTTTATAATAATTACTAGCTATTTATATTTCAATTCATATGTTAACAAATATTGATTTTCTTACCATAAAATTTAGATTTTATTAATTAATAAATAGATTGCACTATTTTTTATATATATAAATAAAAAAATCCAAATACATCCAATTTGTTTAATATGAAACCTTATTATTTTAAAAATAATAGAATTAAGAAAGAAAAAATCTACAAAGTAAAGTTCTAATAATTTAACTTAAGATTTTTTTATTGGATATATAAGAAGTTGGAGTTGAATATATATATATATTTTTTTTTAATTTATTTATTAATTCTTGAAACTTGGATCTAAGATCAAAAACTTCTTTAAAAGAAAAACTTTTAGTTTTCTAGTTGGTGCAATTCTTGAAGAAATTTTTGTTATTTATATATCTTTATGATTATTTTTTCTTAATAATTTTTGAGGTTGTAGAAAAGCTTAATGCTTAACAAACATTAAATTTCTCATTTATTCCAAAATTTTTACTATGCCATTATTCATTTCTACCAAAATTACCATTTTTTTATAATCTTAAAAATTTCTCTATAAGAAAGAAAAAGTTAATGAAAATAGTATTGCAAAAATAAAATGACTTTAGAAGAGAATAATTTGCAATCTATAATTTTTTTAATACTTTTGAAATAAATTAAAAATCTACTCTCTTTTAAAAAATATAAAATTTTAATATTGTAAATATTAGTCTTTTTTAAATTTTCAAAATCATGAATTTAGACAAAATCAAAAATATTATATATTCATTTATTATTAAAAAATTCAAATAAGAAGAAACAAAACACAAATCTAAGATAAAAAAGAAGTAGAATGGCTATTTTCAAATATATTCAAACTAAAGAGTTTTTTTTAATGAAGACTAGAATACAAGAAAGGTGTTGCCAAGATTGAAGATAGTCTCATTCTGACCTCAAGATTTGTGGCCCAAGCATCAAGTTGTAAATTTTTTGTAAAAAAAAAAAAAAAAAAAAAAAAAAAAAGAGTACATGGCATATTTACAGGAATTTATAGTTTTAATTTACATTTAAGAAATTTTCTAAAGTTTATTTAAGAAAAATATTATCTACCTAATATGTTCTAAAAATTACTATTTACTTCTATATACTTCTATATATTTAAATTATATAGACATCCATTATAGTAGGTAGGAAAAACATATATATATATATATATATATATATATTTGTGCTAGGAGACAAGAATAGAGGTTGTGTTGAATAAACATAATGAAAGCACAAAGATAATGAATAACAACCTTGCAAAATATTTAGTGATCTACATAAACCTATAAAGGCTGAATGTTCTTACAATAGCCTTACTAAGGAACAATTAATTATTAGAATCACCAAAATTCAAGATACCTTTAACTTGTAAAAGCAAAAAACAAATATGGAGTTGAAAACATTATTATTTTTAAGCATATAATAAGTAACAAAGATTTTTTCTAGTAAAAATATAAACTATTCTATTTTGGCTCAAAAAAAACATATGAAAATATTAATAGATATTTTTTTCCTGCATTAAAGTAAAAATTATAATGTTTCTACATAAATACTCTTAACTTGACAAACCAAACAACTATTTTGATTCACATAATTATAAAGTTCTTCATTGGAATTATTTTGTGCATATTAGATATGTATTTAAGCTAATTATTACAAGCTTATAGAAAATTCCATATGTAAGTAATAGATATAGAAAACTTTTCAGTAAAGTTTATATAGCTGCATGACGTATCTGAGAATCCCTAACACTCCAATCTACATCTATAAAACTTCATACACATAATTTGAAAAGAATAAATATATTCTATTTTTAAAAAAAAATACATGCATGTTATAGCTCTAAATAATATATACTTATTTAAAACATATATAAAATGGATTTTAAAAGAAATAACAGAACATTTAATTTCTTCAATATATTGGAATTAAAAGATGCAATGAATTACATAAAACATATTCCTCGACAAGTTGTCTATTTAAAAAAAAAAAGATAGTTAAGATTGACATGATTGGTGTTAGTATTGCATTGTTAAAATTTCCACATGCTTGCAATATGATTAGTTTGGAGCAATACTTAGGTAACATATGTAATGTAAGTTACAGTTGTATTTGCATTCAACTTATATACATTCTTAAAATACTATTTTGATAGCTATGAGCAATAGGATATTAAAAGACCAAGTCAAATAAAAGTGTTATTAAACATCCATTACTAATCTTAAATAATCCAATTTATAGATTGTAAAAGCCAAAACTTATAGCATAATAAAATAAGATAACAGCTAGGTAGACACCCCTCTTTTACCATATAGATACCTACCGTGTGGTTTCCTTAATTTATTAAGATTTTTATTTTATTTTAAAAGTTTTTTTTTTTTTTTTTTTTTTTTTTTTTTTTTTAATACTTCTAGTCATTTGTGCATGTTAACTCCATAATTTTATAGTTTTATTTTCTTTGATATAGAACATACATCTATATTTTAATATGTGATTTTAATCATTTAAGGACGAAAATAAGACATCATCTTGTCTGTTATTTATTTATTTATTTATTTTCATAATCTCCTCAATAATAACAATTTAAACATCAAAAAAATATTATCATTAAAAAGTATTCATGTAAAAATGATATTATTGTATGTATGTGGGGTGCATGGCCAGAAAGGGGATGTAATACACAGAAATTTTTACTACTGCAAATTAAATCACATCATTATCATAAATAATAGAAAAAAAAACATTAAATAATATTAGAAAAACCTTCATTTTATTTGTCAAAAAATATGCTGGTACATTTTTTATTATATCATTTTTATATTTTTAAATAATTGAAATAAATAATGATAAATTTATGTTACATTTATTTGAAAATAAAAGAATAAAGAAGATAAAAATGAAGGTCTTAGAGGATAATGTCAATAAAAAAATAAAATAAAATATATTAGACTTATTGATTTTTTGTTATCAAAATGGCATTACAAAGATTTTTGTTATTGACAAGTAATGATCATATATATATATATATATATATATGTACATATCTCTCTCTCTCTATATATATATTTTTAAAACAAGTTTGTGTATGTATGTATTATTGTTATTATTATAGTTTATATATATATATATATATGTATATCTTGCTTTTAAGCACCCACCAAGTCCAAATCTATGGGTGCCAGAACAAGGGAGCATGAGCGGAGATGGCGGCGTCGCGCGGGACGGGCTGCGAACGCGGTATCGCCACCATCGGTCTATCTCCCTCTCTCTCTCTCCCTCTCTCTCCTGCTCCCTTCTCCCTGTCGTTGGCTCGCTGCCTCTTCCCAAGCAAAGCAAAGCAAAGCAAGCATCACCTGGCTCTGTGACCACCATCACCCGTCTCCTCCTCCCACTCGCCATCCCCACCTTCTCTGGATCCGCCGTTGCCGTTGCCATTCCTGGTGCACTCACAGGGTTGTTGGGTCGACGCCAATTCATCGACCGGAGCTGCCGTTGCTGCTGCTGCTGCTTCTGCTAGTGCAGGTGGGTATGTGTTTCAGACACTATGTGGTGGTGTTGTCCACGAGTGAGGAATGGGTTTTGTGGGCGATTGATGATCCGGAGTGGTTACGGGGAAGGGTGATCAGGATCTTTTAGGGTTTGGCGGAATGTTTTGTGGGTTTTTGTTGTTGGGTTGTTGATTTGGGGATTGGATTTGGGAGGTGAGCAGGAGGGAGCTAGTGGCTGGGAAGGATGTCGGGCTCTAATCAGCGTTTGAATGTGGCTCCGACCATCACCATGATGGGAGTGGTGAAGGCCCGGCTTGTGGGCGCCACCAAAGGGCACCAGCTGCTGAAGAAGAAGAGTGATGCGCTCACCATGCAGTTCCGGCAAATTTTGAAGCGGATCGTGGAGACGAAGAAGTCGATGGGGGACACCATGAAGACGTCCGCGTTCTCGTTGACGGAGGCTAAGTACGCAGCAGGGGATAACATCAAGTATGTTGTGTTTGAGAACGTTGATAAGGCCACAATTAAGGTTAGGGCTAGGCAGGAGAATGTCGCTGGGGTGAAGCTTCCCAAGTTTGAACACTTCACCGAGGTCGGGGAGGCGAAGAACGATCTGACGGGGTTGGCTCGTGGTGGGCAGCAGATTCAGCTTTCTAAGTCTGCGTTCGTGAAGTCGATTGAAATTTTAGTGGAATTGGCGTCGTTGCAGACCTCCTTCCTGACGTTGGACGAGGCCATTAAGACAACGAATCGTAGGGTTAACGCTCTTGAGAATGTCGTCAAGCCCAAACTAGAGAACACAATTCAGTATATCAGGGGCGAATTAGATGAATTGGAGAGGGAGGAGTTTTTCAGGCTCAAGAAAGTGCAGGCGTATAAGAAGAAGGAGGTTGATAAGCAACTTGCAAAGAGCAAGGCGTACATGGAGCAGGGATTGGATCGACCAGTCAGCAGTCAAGTCACCGCAGATAACGACGATGACCTTCTTTTCTGATCTTATATCGTTTGTTACCTAGGCGATTGGCAGAACTCTCTTACAATCAGAATTTGCTTCATCATCTGGACGATTTCTACTTTTCAAGCTTCATGTGGAGTTCAATCGTGACGAGATATTAGTCAAGCATTCCTTGTTGAGGGGAACAAGATTTGTACTTGCTATCGGTCGGTTAAGTTTGTGTGAGAAACTGCAAAAGCTGTTATTCTAGATTAGACTGATAACCAGTATGTTTCGTCAGTTTCGATAATAGGGTTGTGTATTCTATGTCGTGTAGAGGATATTTTTGTCTTGAAGTGCTACTTCAGGTACAAATCTTTGATGCAGAAGGCTTGAGTATGTATGCAGAGCGGTACTGACAAGATAGCTGGCGAATCTGACCAAGTACTCCTCTAGTAAATAATTTCATAGTATTCTTTCTGGACCCTTTAGGAATGATCTGATTTTTCGGGGCTTGTTTTTATCGAGCTGACTAGCAGCATAGAGTCGAAGTTGTCAATGCTACTCTGTGAATGTTCCTGTGTCCTGTAATCTCGGGGTTCATTTAACGAATCTGCTTTGCTAGGTTGTGAATCAATTTAGCAAATAGCCTGCCTTTGCGTGAAACGCTTCTGTTCCTTATCTGCAGAGATGTGGATTCATTATGATTCTCATGTATTGAATGATGTGTCTGTGTGGGATCTGTGTGCAACGTCCGAAAACTAGAATTTTGCTGATCAGACCGTACCGCTGCAGCAATTGCGCGTAGAACACTGAACTACGGAACAGTGAAGGCCTGTTATTGTTATAAACATACAGGTTGTATACGAATTTGACATTGAGAGCCCAGCATACAAAAACGTGGTCTACCAAATCAACAAGCCTAGTTTTGCATCAATGTGTGCACTCAGTGCAACAAGGTTGCGCGTATTAACCTCAATCTAGTGTTGCATTTTCACTGCCGACCATACATGGCCAGTTTGCTTCACTATAAACCTAATTATGCGGAAAGTATGACGGGGAAACTCAGCTTCTAGACATATATGTCAAGTATCACAGCCAAGGAATCCATTCTGATGAAGCATTTATTGTTGGTTTCACTACACATCCTTCACAGCCCTAAACACTGCAGTGCAGAGGGATTTTTGTGCTTTCACTTCTCAGATCCACTATACAAAAATACTTGTATGACTGGTCACCTATTAGAATTGAGGTCATGTACAAATATAACTTGTTTCAAAAGTTTAGTTTTAAATAACGATTTCAATCGGAAGCTACGAACTTGAAAACCTCGTAGTTTGTGGTACTATATTCCAAGTAACTCATTGAGTTCTTGAGATGAAGAAGCTGTAAACCAGAAATCGCAAAGCTCTTCAGAATACAACCAAGTGTTGAATGTCCATTTAATTCCACTGCAATAGAAGGAAAATATTTGTGTTTAAAATTTAGAACTTAGGTTAAATTCTGACTTCCTACAATGTGTCAGCATCAACTAGAACTGATACCATCCAATTGGTAGTGTGTAATGTAACTTATTGTTTGCAATGTGATTAATTATATTAAAACTGGGATTCAAATAGGAGGCGCTTTAACTTGATTATATATATATATATATATATATATATACAAATTATATATCATTGTTAACCAAGACCTTTGTCATTAAATATGTTAAATTTTCAGGAGTCTCATTATCACCAAGGTAGACGCGTGGCAATTCCGTGGTCTAAAGCCGCGGCGGGCACATTGTTGCAATGGGAGGAAGGACATCAGCTTTGCAACCATCGATTCCGGCACTCACCAGCTTCGTGTGCCAAATTTGTGGGGTCTCGACGAAGGAGCGGCGATCATGCAACCATCAGGCAACGCCGTCACAGATTCCTGTGAATCCCATTCCCGCTTCCTGTCATATTTGCACTAAGTTGTGCTGGATTCGACATCGAACAAACAAGTCCCAACTGGGGTACTGCAGCAGAATCCTTCACCCGGAAGCCCCTTGCGCCATCACTTCCGTGCGAGCGAGCGATCTCGGAGACCCTGCAGACATCGTTTTTGAACCCTCACACTCGTTCCATCTCTGCAGTATGAGGTTCATCACAGGCACCAGCTAAATAGCGGGTGTTTCATGGTGTTGGTGACAACAATGATATAGCACCTGGAGTCAGAGGAAGATAAGGCGACGATTTTGAGTCCCAGTTTTATGCGGTTTAATCTGAGCAATCGCCTCTGCTCACTCCTGTCGAGGTGTACTCATCGAGCTTTCATTTTTTTGTGATGGGAGGAACTTTTCTTGTGACAAGGTTGTCGGTGCTTGGTATGAATGTAAGGCTCGTAGGGATGAAAAATGCCACATGGAAGACAACTGTGGCACCAAACGAGTAGCCACTTGGCGCATGTTGACTAAAATTCCGCGTCAATGCTAGCAAAATCGAATTAAAGTTTTAAGAATTCTGTGGCTCAATTCATCATGACCCTGCGTTTATCTTGAACCGCCTGGCCGAAAAATACAGGAAAGGTTACAAGGGACGTTTAATTAGGCAGACTACTCTCAGGAAGGGTGCGTTACCCTTGGAACAGTTTCGAATGTGACTAAATAAAAGATCTCACACAGTTTTAATTGTAACGACCAAACTCTTTTCCTGGAACTTAGCTCCAGAAACCTTCCCACGCATAGCAGCAGGTAGTACCACACTCCGGCGTTGATCTCCAGCCTCAACTAGCAGCTCGGATCCTCCCCTCAACTGACAATAAGTCCACACCAAATATCAGTCCATGACGAACAAATCATATCTGCTATGAATCATATGTATGCACCATCTATCTGCTGAATCATGATCGCAACATACGTCATGCTAGCTAGAACAGCATCAACAGAAAACCCCGTACCTGTGATAATTTTATGTCTGATTTTTGAAAACCAGGGAGGAAAAGTGTAACCGTTCTTGCTGCTTGATCAAAGGTAACAGGTGCCGGGATGGTTCCAGCTTGACTTGTTCCGCTCATAACGCTTTTAGCTTCCTTACTCAACCTTCCGAGAGCCTCGTCCCAATTCGGGGGAGAGTCAAAGGAAATGCTGGGTAAACCCGCCACTCTCAAGGGAACAAATTTCTCTACAAATCCAGCGTCTGGAGGAGTTGCCTCAGGAGAAGAGAGTGAATAAAGAGCTCCCGCCACATGTACTCCAGCTTGAGTGGCACAACCCCAATAGCGCAATGCTGTATCAACGGCTATTACGTTCTTTGGGTTTGTGACTAAAAAGCATGAGAATCTCTTTGGGTCCTGGAATGTCTCGACGACTCTCTGCATGAGAATATACACATGATCAGCCAGCAGCAATAGGACAGTAATAGTCGAAGCTATGCCATCACGATCTCTGAAAAGATGTAGAACACACCATGAGGATGCGGTTCGTTGCGTCCCAAATCTCGCTCGTTGACCTCGGTGAATCTCTGCTTTCATCGAGGAAAGCGTTCTCCATCAGCTTTAAAACTGATGGCAGAGCCACTCGCCCTGCATCTGTCTTCTCAGCAATGCTTCGAAATCGGCTCACATACCATCTGCACGTACAAGGCAAACGAGTGTTCAGTTTTGCGAGTTTCAAATCGGCTTCATTTCGCACCAGATCAACCTCGAATAACATTGTTAAGAAAGGGTTAGGGGAACCACCTGGCTCTCTCTGCCGATCCAAACATTCGAAAAATCTCGTCGCTACTATAGCAGTCGAACACAACCACATCATACTCTTTGTCATCGTTCATGCTCATCCCCTTGAATAGTCCACCAGTAAACCCGGTGAGCCGCTCGATGGCTCCCATTGCCAGAATAGGGTCCATGCCTGGGAGCACACTTAGCTCTTCTCCCTTTATCTGAATTCCAAAGAGCAACCATGAATTCCAAACCAACCACGAATAAAAAAATCGGATCAAACAAGAAACAAAAATTACAGTGCGCAGACTGTAACATGTTAACTCCAAGCAGAGTACTTACGTTCTAACCATTGTGTCAGAGGTTCACCCATAAAATTGTTTTGTGCCTGTGTACCTCATCTAGGGCTCCTTGACTGAAGTTCTGACGTTTGTCGGCGGCCTTAATTTGTGCCAAAGGCTCAATGATCATCTACAAGAATCACAGACGAATTTCATGTAAACTTCACTGGTATAAAATCGAACCAAGAACTGATTGATGGTATGTGGATATAATTCAGTCGCGGCGCAAACAGGTCATCGACCCAAAGAGGAGCTGACTACAAAATCGCACAAATATGTGTACCTTCGTGGTTTCAAGTCGAAAAGCAGTAAGGTTACCATTTCTGAACGAAGAGAGGGCGCTGCTCAGCTTTTGTCCAAGTAAAACATCGGCGGTGGGATCCTGGGATTGGATGAGAAGGCAGGTGCGCAAGCCAGTGCTAGCGTAGTACTGCACACTCAGCAACCACATTGGAGGTTATGGCTCCTGCGGAATTACCTGCTTTGAAAGACGGACCTGCCCACAAGCCCTTGACGATGGATGCTAACCTGTGAATTCATTGCAACATTTCCCACCATCATCCCTCCACATTGACGCCCCCTAATTCAAGCACATTCTCTTCAACTCACATTGCATCTACAAGCGCAAAACACTCTCTAAACAATCTCTTACAACTGCTGGATAATGCGAATTAACGGTGTCGTGATGATAAAATTCTTGATGATTGTCTAAAAGCCCTATACTTTTCCCCACTGTAATCGATCTTTCTCTCGACTGCCTCCGTTTGAAGACGAAGCAGCAATATCAGAGCTGTTAAGAGTAACCAATTGTGAATTGGTATTACTATCACAAACCACTGCTTGCAATTGTAGTTCCGACATTGCCTGGTTGTATAAAGTGCGCGAAGGATCAAGCGAGAAGACTATGGGATAGACGGAAAAGGGCAGAATTGAACTGCAAGCTTAGAGCTGAAATTGGGAGGTCAATTATATACCTGAGCTGCAAGAACAGCAGCGGTGGTCTTCCCCACACCACCCTTACCCACAAGAGTCACCAGCTTCGTTCCCTTCTCGCCACTCGCCCGTGCTCGCGTCTCCATGCTTCGCGACGACACGGACACGGGGGCGCACAATATTGCCCATCTCGTGCCATTCCGGGGAAACAGCTCCGAATCTCTGATCGTGGAGGACAGCAGTGGAGGCCTCGCGAACCACAGCGCCATAGCTGACATATCTTCCCCCCCAAGCTGTTACCTCTCGGTATCCTTCCTCATGCAAAGATTGCTCAACAACCCAATTCAATGCTGCTCCTGACTACCAACACGATCAGAGCAGGTAGCAGCAAACCCAGCCTGGAAAATCACTCCCGGCTACTTGTTTCACGAACAAACACTTGCCTAAACACAAGCTCGAGTGTTATCAGAACACACACACCACCACCACTCTCACATGAATGGCGCTTGCGGGGAAGGGTTCGGATTGAGGTCCGCTCCCACGTCCTCATTCCAGATCTGGATTCCAGGTCCCTATTTTCAAGTTTCGAAATATTATTGGAGGTTGTATTGTGTTGGATGTGGGGTAAGGAAAGAGGTTTCTGCTTGAGGTTGCAGCATCAATATATATATTTAGGGGAATGTTAAATAGACCCAATTTTTTACTAAAACAACCCACCCATCTTATCCAACATGAAAAAAAAAGAATGATTTTTATATTCATTTCTCCATTGTTAGGTCTACAACTAATAAAAACCAGCCACATTTATCATGATTATCATATTCTTCATCAAAGGTGGGTCTATTTAGTAAAAGCATGGGTCTATTTAACATTCCCTTGTATTTAAAGTTTGTAAGTTTTTAAATTTTTCAAATGACTATGGAACAACATCAAGCTTCTCCAAATTTATTAAACTAAGGTATTTAGGACATGGCATTTCACTATCCTCCAACTTTGGCAAAGATTCAAGACTTATACTTCCTTATAAATTAAAGTCAATGAGAGTTGGAAAGCCATCTTTTCTACCAAAAGAAGTTGAAATTTTTATACTAGAACTTCCATCAAAACATATTCGAACTTTCATACACAATCATGTATATTTCTTAGTTATTAGAAGATTTTTTTTCTTTTTTTTCATGCTAATTATCATGTTGGCTTGACCATACTTCAACACCAACTTAAAAAATATATAATTTGTTTATTATTTTATTACTTTATTATATTTTTTTTAAAAAAAATATTAAAATATTTTATTTTTCTTCTAACAAAAAATAGTAATCATAATGGCTGAATTTAAAAAATAAACTAAAGAATAAAAATAAAATATATAAAATATTTTTTTCTAAATAAAATTATTTATAAACAATTAATATGCATAAATTTAAAATATGTGGTTTAAAAATCACTATTATAGAATAAATTTAAGAGTAATCTTATCATGTATGTAAAATATGGATCATAAAGTATATATTTTTATATTTTCTAAAAAAATGTTAATTTGTAAAAGAATAAGATAAATTAAATTATATCATAAAACTATATTCATCCTAAATTCACTTCCAATTTGTAGATAATTATTTTATTATAAAAAAATCACAAAAAGAATATTTTAATTTATTCACAAAAAAAATTGATTAAAAAAATAATATATATATATATATATATATATATATATTAATAAAATACTATTAATTTTATGCTTTTTTAAATTAGAAATTATTTAAAAATCATATTTCATTTCTTGTTGATTATATTATTTGATTAATATTATAAATTTAACTTTTTATTTTTAATGATTTGATTTTTTTGAATTAATCTTATATCCAATCTCTTGATTAAATTTCTATAATTTTAAACTTATATATATATATATATATATATATATATATATATATATATTTTAATATAAATTATTTATTCATTTTATCTCTTAATATCTCAAATCTCAAAACCAATTCATTCTATTATGTTCTCGTAGACATACATATTTATTCTAATAGTTACTTAAATATTATGAATAAGTAAAAGTAGATTAATTTGAAAATATCTTATAGAGATGCTTCTTAGAAGCTTCATAGATGCAATTTTATTTTTATATTTGTCTATAGGTAATTAATAGGCTAAAAAATTTGCTAAAAAATAAGCCTTATTTTGTATATATTGGTTGCTTGTAGTACAAGCTAACAATTGTCATACATATAGAAAATTTACCTTGTAAGTTAAGACATGTGTTTACAAATAAAACACATACTAGAGGTTCATTAGAATGTTGCCATGTAGCTTTTAGTTAGATAGTATATATGGAGGCAAGAGTGAAGTCTTCTTTACTATTGTTAATACCTTTCTTGTCTTTAATCTAGTATCAAAGATATGAACTGAAATAAAATGCATAAACTTAGAAAATTTGTATAAAAAAAAAAAAAGATAAAATATAAATAAAAAAATATGTATATTAAAAGGAAATTAGAATGGCTATTGCCCAAAAACAAGGAAACTAAAGTCTCTTGAATCTAGACTAGAAGCAAAAAAAGAGTTGACAAGAGTAAAGAAGGCTTATTTCTTGCCTCTACATATATACTATCTAACTAGGAGCTACGTGGCAATGTTCTATAGGACCTCTAATATGTGTTGACTTTGCAAGACACATGCATTAGCTTACAAGGCAAGTTTTCTATATGTGAGCCACATAATTAGCTTCTTTTTCAAGCTACCAAGATGTGTGGCATATGGCCAACTTTTTGACTATGTTTTTAACTTAAAAAGTCAATTAAAGATACCTATAAAGTCAAAGCAACATCTTTAAAGCTTCTAAGAAGCTTTTATAGAAGATACTATGGAATTAATCTTCTTTTACCTACTTTTATCTAAATCATATAAATAATTATTGGTTTATATGTGTATGTCCATGATATTACTTTTCCTTCAAGGGACAAGTTCTACAAGGAGCAATCTTCATATATTGAGGAAATCTAAGATGTGGCAAATTGTATTTGCCACATATTTTGATCTTTGTTCTCTTCGAAGATAATTGATAGGCCCTTTCAACCATTGATAGTGTCTTATATCAGGGCAAGAAGACCACTATGTTATTTGGTCGTTGTTGAGGTCTTTATAACTTCCTTTAAATATAACATGTTGAACACCATTAAGAGTTGTTCCTACCTCTAATAAAATCACCAAATATTGAGAGTTCCTTGTAAGGTCGTGATACCAAACACATAATATCTTGCCATCTATTTGACAAAGGATATGTCATTCTTGAAGATCTTCATCTTGATTTTTTTGTCTTAAAGATTGTCACAATCACAATGTCTCATTTGACAAGTTTACAAATAAAAGCTCTTAAATTGAATCTATTGGTTGTTGGTTCTTAATTTCTTTAGCATCACAAATACACAAAAGCTACAAAAAAAGATAGTAGGTAGAGTGCAATCTTTCCTGGACCTTGTTTCTTTCATAGCAAAGACTTACTATTCATCATCTTGATTTAAATGGATGTCATCAATGAAAAGCCTCCATCACCTTTACTACATTTGTGAGATTATTTATTAGCTTTTATGTGCATTCACTAATATCATATCTACATCAATGGACAAGACATTCTAATTTATTTTGGCACTACCTTGAGTCTAAAACTTCTTCCACTTCAAACTCTTCATTATTGTCTAATTTTATAAGAGGAAGTGGAGCTTGTCTTCTTTTTGGTATGTTTATAATCTTGTATGATTCAAGAAGAGACATGTAGAATACAAGATGGATCTTCATTGCCTTTGATAGATATAATCAATAAGCAACTGGATTGATTTGTCTACAAATAAGAAAAGGTCTAAGCCTATTGCAGTCCAACTTATTATAATGACAAGTAGTCTTCATATTATGATGAAGCGACCATATCCTGTTATCTATATTGAATTATGGTTATTCCTTTTGATAGAAATCTGTATTGATCTTTTGTCATTCTTGAGCTTTCTTTAATTGCACCTTCATTCTTGCATGTAGCTTTGATAAACAATTTGGCAAACCTTCTGCCACAGGATTATCAACTTTTGAAAAGTCAAAAGTATCAAGTCATGGATGGTAACCACAATTGGCAAAAAAAGATATTTATTGCATAGAAGAATGCATCATATTATTATAAGTAAACTTTGCTAATGGCAAGAAGATTTTTCAATCGTCTTGTTGATAATTAATTATATACCTTAATTATTGCTCCAAAACTTGGTTTATGTACTCTGTCTATCTATCAATTTGATGATGAAAGGCCAAAAAAAGCTTTATGTCTACTTTTAAAATCTTAAAAAGAGTTCTTCAAAATCTTAATACAAATTGAGACTTTGTATCTGATATAATATCTTTTAACAATCCATGATATGGATAGATATTATTAATGAAAAGCTTGGCAGTTTTTTTTACTTGTGATAGATTTTATGCATTGTACAAAATATGCTATTTTGATAAAATGATCTGCTATCACAAATATAGAATCACATGATCTAAAAATAGAAAGATCTGTAATAAAATCCATAGAAATAGAAGATCGTAGTTGTTTTAGAATAGGTAATGGTTGAAGAAGTCTATAAAGTCAATGCCGAGGATTTTTTGACCTTGAACAAATATTGCATAATTGAACAAAGTCTTTTATTGCCTTCCACATTTGCAGCCACCAAAAATCTCTAGATATTAGCTCTAGAGGCTTGTTGTATCCAAAATGTCTTGCTATTGGAAAGTCGTGACATTGTCGTAATATATGAAGTCTTGCTTGAAAATACTCCAGGCACCTGGTTGTGGAAGGTAGAATGGAAGTTACAACAAAAAAATCTTAATTCTAATAGAATACTAACTAAACTCTAATTAAACCATAACAATACTAAGCAAGCTTTAATCAAATTCAAAGAAACCTCAAAGGAATTACAAAGAAACAATAAAAAGTCTTAAAGAAATATTAGAATGATCACAAACATATCTCAAATACATCTCAATTCAATCTTAATTTAATCCTAGTTGAAATCATATTAGACTTCATTCAAACTTTAGGCCAAAAATTAATTAAATCTTAAATCTTAAATAAATCCAAATAAAATCCTAAACCTTAAATCAAATCCTAACCAAATTCTAACCAAACTTTAAACCCTAAACTAAATCCTAACCAAATCCTAATCAAATTCTAAATCCTAAACTAAATCCAAATCCTAAATCAAACCTTAACCAAGTCCTAAATCAAATCTTAAATCCTAAATCAAATTCTAATCAAACTCTAAATTAAATCTTAAATCCTAAATCAAATTCTAATCAAACTCTAAACTAAATCTTAAATCCTAACTAAATCCTAACTCTAAATCAAATCCTAATCAAACCCTAAACCAAACCCTAAATCCTAAATAAAATCCTAGTAATTTCTATAATAAATTTATACCTCAATTACTAATGAATGAACTGTTGATCTTAACTCAA